TGACAGTGTTGAATTGGTGCTGTGCAAATAAACTGAACTGAGAAATTATTCATGAGAGACAGCAGAGTTCTTTACATATACATTTGTATTTAGTATACAAAAATGGTCATTTTTACCACACAGATGTGAAGTAATAAAAAAAATAAGACAAACAGTTGGAACAAGTAAACAAGTTACATTACATACGTACATGGCCAATGCATTGTCATCATACAACTGCTTAGAAGAATTACAGTGGGTCAAAAAACCAGAGAACTTTCATGCAATAACAGTATTATAATTTTTTGCTGTACCTCAGCTACATTATGACAGCTTAGCTAGTCCAGACCACACAACATAATTCAACCATAGAACTGCCAACCAAAAACAGCATGAGAGAGAGACCTGCAGGCTGGGTGTCACTACATGAGGGAGACGGACATCCTGCAGGCCTGCAACCAGAAAAAAATGCACTTCAGAAAGGTGGAATCTGCACAAAGATAGGCCCCTTTAAATATACGACGTTAGCAACACTTCTAACTTCAACATGAGCATTTCTATTGTCTTTAGTTTGATCTATTTTAAGATTTATATATTCAGGTACATAATGCTTTTAATGCTTGTCTTTTTCTAAGTATTTTTCTATGCATCACAGAAATCCATTTTCTCTTTCTGCATTAATGCTCACACACTTTTGAAAACTCTGTAATACTACAATATGAAATTGTACCAAAAACTGGACATTAAAAAAACTTGGCTTTAAACAAGATTTTTTTTTAATCATCAACCCAAACTGTCAAAAAGAAATGCTGCCTCACTGCTAGTGACATGTACAGGTTCACTCTCATACACATACACACACACACACGTGTGCGAGCACACACACACACACACACATTGTACCTCAAAGGGTGGATAAATTAAGACAGAAAATTTTAAGACTCATGCAAGCTCCTTTCTTTTGGAAGGGAGAACTCAGGCAGCAAGGTTGTGTAGCCCCCAATGTTTGGCATGCTCACCTGAAGCACATCCGCAGGTGAACCAAGGTACCCACAGACCCTTAGCTAAGATCAGCTGCTAGCACAAGTTTACTCAGTGCCCCCCCACCCCACCCCACCCCCAACACATTATGTTCGATCTATATGTCTTGATAACACTGATTTAGTAAAAGAACTTGCAGTGATCGTCTGTTTTCAGCCACATACTGCTGCATCTCATAAAGCATTAATCTGTTTCAAATCTGTTGGATATTCAGGGGTTCACCACTTGAAATGAAAAAATAAATCAAGTGCAGGCAAAAGTTAGAACTTCTCACTCAAGAACGAATATTAAAGATTTAATCCTTTTGTCCTGCATTCATTAATGGGAGCAGTCATCCTCCAATGGGAGAGATGGGCGTTCGGTGTCCCATCAGTGCAAGAAGGTGACATAAAAGCACTGACTCTTCTTTGTAGAGCTAAAGTAGAGAGCTGTATGAACGTGTGTGTGTAGTAGAGTGCTGTATGAATGTGTGTGTGTAGTAGAGTGATGTATGAACGTGTGTGTGTAGTAGAGTGCTGTATGAATGTGTGTGTGTAGTAGAGTGATGTGTGTGTGTAGTAGAGTGCTGTATGAATGTGTGTGTAGTAGAGTGCTGTATGAA